TATTTAAAAAAAACGTGGGAAGTGACTTTTAGCTAATCTAATTTACCTATATCCCCTATTGCTTAATATACCTATTTTATATTGAGAAAAACAAAAATCTTTAAACCCTTTTAATACCGAAAATAGCCCTCTAAATTTAATTAAATTTTTGTTTACAACCTTTTCCCCAACTTCAAATTTAAAATTTACCTTTTCATCTTCAAATTCATCCCTTCATTTGGGTGGGCTTTGTTATGATATTGGGCGCCCAAGTTGTGTATATACGCTTAACATTTTTTACAATCCTAGGAATCCTCGTTGCTTGTATTACTTTCCCTATAATTCTTTTGGCAGTCAAAAAGCACTTCTGAGCAATTAAAAGTGATTTCTTTTGGTTATTGGAATCATTCGATGAGGAGAAGATCAAAAGCACTTTTTTTTTTTTTTTTTTTTTTTCCAGTATGGAGAAGCATCTTTAGTGCATGCATGGCATATTTACTAATGATCATCCAAACAATATCAAAAGCGTTTTCAGTTATGTTATTATACGTCTCTAATAAACGAAAGTGTTTTCACAAATTAAAAATAGTTCAAGCGTTTACTAAAAAAAATTATTAGAATATTTTAAAACATTTTTATGTATAAATTTTTATCTAAATTAAAAAAAAAAAAAATCAAGTAAAACCGCTCTCAAATGCAATTTAGGTATTTTCACTTGAAGTGCTTAATAAGAAAAAGCACTTTTGAAAAAAGTAGTCAAACTATAGCTTACAAGGTGATGCATGGGTAGTTAGCAACGTGCATACCCACTTTTTTTATTCCATTTTTAATTAATTAACATCTGAATTAAGAGTCGTTTCAAATGAATTAAGTAAAGTTTTGAATAATCACGAATAATCCAGCAAGCAATCAACCGCACGCTTAGCGCTAGAAAAACCCTAGTCAACGAGCACGTGCGGCCTCATAACTAGGTGATTATTATAATGGAAATGATTATAATAATTACAAGTATTAGCATAAAGAAAAGGGTAATTACGTTGAAAGTTAATTAATTATGCATAATGTGTCCTTGATTCACGATTGCTTGTTCTTATTCTTGATGACAAAACCCTAATCCTTTAATCATTATATAACATAAAAGATTTAAAAAACAAACAGTTGTTTTGGTTGCCAGGATACTCATTTTAATTTACAATAATTCCTTAGTCAAACCTACACAATAAAGTTGGAATAAATATCATTAAGTTTCTTGAGTTTTGATGAAGGTCCCTTATACTTTCAAAAATCATCATAAAAGTTCCTCTAATGTCTAAACTGTTGGATCAAGATTTACATGTTGTCCACATCGGTTGCTAGGTCTAACATCTTCATAGCCTATAACATACAAATACTCAAAACATGCAATGAATCAAACTTACTATTATTTTCTTTAAATTTTCTCGATTCACTAATCAGTCTAATATTTCTCTCTTTTATTTTCATCCAAACACTTTGATTTGAAGTAAGTACTAGGAAACCATTGAAAAAAAATCACATTTTTCACAAATTGACATACCTCCTTCTCGTCCTTGGCAGTGTCTCCAGCATTTACTTTACTTGTAGCCTATTTTTAAATTGTGCTCTTATAATTTGATTTTATACACATTTTGCTTATTTTTTGTTTAAACTTCTAACAGGGAGATTAACATAGCAACTCAAAAAGGGTATTTTGGGCATTTGAATAGCCTTCGAATGAAAAAGTTTGAAAGCTTGGGGGACCTTAAAAAATTTACCCAAAAAAAAAAAAAAAAAGTGAAGAAGTAGTATGTGTTGGTGTGGCCGACATGTGATAGTAAACAGGCAAAAAAACAAAAGGGAGGAAACAAGGATTGAGACTGAACACTAAAATATAAAAGAAGGGTTTTAAAAAAAAAAGGAATGAAAGCTTTTGCAGAGTTTAGATTTGACTATTACTTCAAACTTATTTTGTATTTTCATTTTAAAATGTAGCCTTTTTCAAAAATTGCCATGTGCTTGAGAGATGCTTTCCCATTCTCTATTAGTTCATCAAATTTTTCTTGAGAGATGCTTTCATGTTATTTATATCCAATATTAGAATGAGTTAACATTGTAGATAATTACCACTGGATGACCTGATGGTCTCCTAAAGGGGATCTATCTACCAAATTTAAGTCCCCTTGAGGGTAAAAGAACAAGAGAAAGATCCAATATGATCTTTCGAGTTCGAGTTCTTACGATTGCTAATAAGGATGGTCATTAGAGCTCTTACACAGTCAATAATTCTAAAATTTTAAGGAATTAATTGAGGTACGCACAAGCTAACCCGAACACTGTCGATCATTAAAAAAAAAAAAAAAAAAATTATAGATTTTGATTTAAAGAAAAATCATTTGATATTACTTAAAATGATCCAAGAATTGAATTATACAATAACATCTTGAATAAGTATTGTATCATTATCTTCAAGTTAATCTAAGAGTTGATATAGCCACAGTAATATTCCGAATGCTTATATAATAAGACAAAATAATCCTATACCTATTATCATAAAGAAATACCAAGTGTGAAATCTTCCTCATGGAAGCAAAATCAAATTCCCAAATAAAATAAAAAATAAAACAGTCAAAGAAGTGGTCAAACGTGAGCGCCGAAAGGTACAAAGGACAGCCATATCCAATCCAAGAAGAGACAAGAAAAGACAGTAAATTTTGGAATTCATTCTCAAAGACACATCAATTAATTAAATAAAAATAAATATATATTACCAATAACTTTAACTTGAAAAAGTTATATAAAAAAAAAACACAATAATAACTAAATGGGTTTTGTTCTTTGTCCTCTACCATATTATTATTAATTATTTTTCATAGCTTGTTAAAGTTTGTTATTTTCTGAGATCACTTTTGGTTTTCCTTCTCTTTCTCTTTCACTTTTTTATTTTTCTTGGTCAAGCCATTGGCCCTCTCTTAATCAAGAGTTTAGACTGCCTTTTTGTGTTGGAACAAACATTTTCGGCTCCACTCCAACACCCTTTAATTCTTTTATTTTCTTTTTCCAAATGTTTTTTATAAAAATTTCTAAGAAAAATTTATTTAGTATATAAATAGAAAGTATATGAAACGTTTCATAACAAATTCATGTATAGAAACGGACATGACTCAACTCTTTTTATTATCCTAATTAAAATAGAAATTCAGTCGAAGATTTTGCTTTTTTTTTAAATATATTTTATTTTGTTCAGGTAAAGTTTATATATGAGAGAATCCATATCCACATGTTTAAGGGGGTCTGTTTTGCATTGTCAAAAAGGTTTTGAGAGAATTATCTTTAAGATATAAAAGTATATTTAAAATGCTTTTGTTGATAGGCATTTCTCTAAAAGAAGAAAAGCATTTTTGTTTGAAAATATTTCCTACAAAATCACTTTCAAGTTTTAACCACTCTATGAAACTTTCAAACTAATCTCATCTTAAATTAATAGTATTAGTTTCATCTTTTACCAACAATTATATTTTTAATAGGTTCCTAATCAAAATCATTTATTCTCATTGAAAAAAAAAAAAAAATTGTTTTTAAAAATTAACCAACATCTTGTGATACATTGTAAATGATATAAGGTGATAATACTAAATATAAAACCAAGAAAACTCAAAACATTTTTTATAATTGGTTTATTTAATATTATTAATGCATTAACACAAACTAAGTTATAAGTTTCATCATCATGTTTTTTCCTTTAATTTGTTAAATTAAAAAGCAATATTATGCTGACAAATGGATCTCACAAACCTAACATAGCAATTGATAATTGGTTTTTAATGAATTTTTTCGTCCGATAAATTCATCAAAAATCAATTATCAACTGTCACATTGGGTTTGTAAGAGAAATTTGTGAGATTTGTTTGTCTGTCTATCTTTATTATAAATTAAATAAAGAAATCATAATAAAATACTAATGATACCAGATAGGAAAACATTTATTTAATGATAGTTGAGGAGAGAAATTACAATTAATTCATATTATTAAATATGAAAATAGAAGAAATGAGTCTCTCACTAACAAAAGCATGATTACCAAAGAAAAAATGGGCAAAGGATATAGTGAGTGGGCAACAGGTACCCTCCAACTCAAGAGAAAATCCAAATGTTTACACATTTTACACAAGAAAGCACTAATTGTAGGTCCACATTTTTGTCTTTTAAAACTTTCATAAACTCAGTAAGTTAGTCAACAATTGATATATGTTCATGTTGTACATAACAATATAATCACAACCCATTTCAAATTTTTTCATCTTTATTCAAATCTAGAGCATTGAATATTTTAAAGAAAATCTATTTTTCTTATTAATGCTCAATCATTATAAGTTCATATAAACGACAAACTGAGGAAATATTTACGAATATCCAGATTCAATATTAGAAATTCGACCTTTATTCTTAATTTTCATTCTTCTCTCTAAATATTTAAACACATGTATTGGTATGGGTTTATGATATTGTTATGTATTACTGCCATAACATGTATCACGTACTTTCTCAATCACATCAAACACTTATTATAAAGCTAATGAAATAATTTTATAATTTTTAAATACCCAAATTGATTCCATAACTTAAATAATACGAAAGGGAACTTTGGGTATCCCACTCTTGCTTCATCTTTCTTGCTTTGTATCTTTATGTGCCCTTGATGCTCAGCCTCTATAAATTTTCAATATATAAAAAAGAAAAAAAAAAGAATCTTTCCCATATCAGGTAATCTTTTCCCCACACCGTAATGTTTCACTACCAAACTACTGATATGACATTCCTCTAAAATCTTAATTTCTTAATGTTGTGACAAAATCAACATTCCCCTAAAAGGGTCTTCTTCTCCAAATTGGCAAGCAAATGAGAATTGAGGAGAGCAAATCACCACTACAAGAAAAAATTGCATAATTTTTTCTTTTTATTTTTAACATTGATAATTTGACTCCAACAAAGATAAAAACATTACAAAAGGGCTGTCATTTTCTTTTCTTTCTCCTTTTTTTTTTTTTTAAACAAACAGAGTAGAAGTAGAGTTAGTACTAGTACTAGTACAGTCAGCTCTGTCAGAAAGTCTTTCTCTTCATTTCATGATTTTTCATGTATTAAGTAAAAAGTTGACCCATCAGGCTATCTCTGAGTCCTACTTCACATTACACAAAATTATCAAACAATTTTTTTCTTTCTTTTTTTTGGGTTTGGTTTTGTTTCCAACTCGAAATCCTCCTTCACATTGCACAGATTCTCATTCATTCCATTCCAAAAATTGGTGTCTGAAACACTGATAGATTAGCCTTTGCAGCCTGTAAAGAATGCAGATTTTGTGCTATATTCCAGCTACCATAACCACCACCACTCTCATTATAACTATTCCCATTGCTACTATTCAAGGCAATGTTGGTTGCTGAATTTGTTGTTGTTGTTGTACCATTTTGCTGCTGCTGCTGCTGAGGAGGATGATGATCAACATACAACCCTCCATCCATAATTACCCCATTGTTGTTGCTTTCATTTACTGAAGAGTTCACTGAGAAATCCATGTGGAAAGTTGAGGGGTTCTGAAAACTGGTAGAGGGAAATAAAGTTGGAGTCATGGTGAGGTTTTTGGCATTGGTGTTTTGGTTATAACCAAGAATGTTAGACCAGTAATCTGATGTGTCTTGCTTGATGGGGATTGCAAAGCTTAGAGTTGAGGTTGCAGCTGCAGGGTGGTGAGATGCAAAGGCGACTGATGATGCCGAGGAGATGTTGTCACGTGTGTCGTCCGACCGGCTCCCGTCTAGGCTCTTGCTATCGGAGGCTGATTCCGAGGAGTTCTTGGACTTGCCGTTGATTCCTCCGATGGGGAGGTTGCTGTTTGCAATGCTTTTAACGTCGTATCGACTCATATCGAAGTTTGTTACTGCATTTAGGCCCCTGAATTTGATTGCAGCAATGTCATACGCCTCTGCTGCTTCTTCTTGAGTACCTGGTTGAAATTTGAGTTCCACATTATTGATCATATCAAACAATGAACAAAAATAAGCACCAAAGTAAGAGATGAGACTCACTGAATGTGCCAAGATAGAGATCTTTGTTGCCGGCAACTCTACCTATTCTAGCTTGCCATCGACCATGTTGATGATGCCTAAATTAAAATTCAAGTTCACAAAATAATGTTATATTTTAGAATCCTAATCCGTCACTTAAATAAACAATTAATATAAGATCATATAATATAAAGTTTAATTCAACAAACCTTGTAACTCCTCTGTAAATTGAAGCCCCTCGAGAGAAACCACTACTTTTCCTGCAAAAATGGAGAAGTTCGCATGTATCAATGGCTAATCTTGGCAAATATTTACATTTTAACACCCCAAAAGTTGAAATAATATAAAAATTATCAAAGAAATGAAATTATATATACCTCCTAAGAGAAGCAACAAACTCTTGCCTAGTCATATTCTTCATTTCCTCTACTTCCTTCTCATAGTTAGAAACCTTCAAAATCAAATTAAATCAACACAAATGTTAGATCAAACATGTTGTCACAAATTTAAAATAATGATAATAATAATAATAATAATCACGTCGGCCGGAAAAAGAATAGGACTCACCGGAAAGTTTGTAGTGGTGGTTGGACCCCAATATTTGAGAGCTGCAAGATCATAAGCTCTAGCTGCTTTCTCTTCTTTATCATAACCACCTATAAATATAAATAGAGCAAAAATAAATAAATAGATTAATAACAGGACTGTATGTCATGCATAAATAAAGAAATAAATCTTTTGTTACAGTGAACAAAATCTAGAGTCAAATCTGAAGTTCAGAGGTTCTTAATGAAATGATAAGCATCAGCATTCCATTATTAATTATCATGAGAGAAGAATATATTTGGTTTACACAGTGAAAACAAAATGATGATAAAAATTATTATTATTATTATTATTAGTTAAAGAAGGTATAGAAAGAGTTGAAGTTAAACTTACCCAAATAAACTGAAAACAATGATGATGATGATGATGATGAAGAATCGCCATGCCCATGCCACATAAGGAAGCAACAAAACCACACGTTAGAAATCTCTCAAATTAAAAACAAACAAAACAATTCAAAACGACTAGAGATCCAGCTTAGCTCTTGATTTTCTAGGGATTTGCACCAAAATTTATTTTTCATTCTATTTATACCGATGATGACATGAAATTTACTGAAGCTCAGACAGGTTCAGAACCCAGATCACAGTGTACCCATTTTCCACATTAATGACTCAAAACAAATTTTTTTTTTTTCTTTTGAGTTTATTACCTTGTCTTCCTTTTCTACTTTGGCCTTCTCTTCTGCAGCTATTATCCCACAAGTGAGCTTCATATCTTCCAGTCCATCTATGTCTGATAAACACAAAGAAATTAAAAAAAAAAAAAAAAAATGTTCAAACTCTGGAAGAAAAGTTTTTTCTTTTTTGGGATTTAGTAGTATTATGTACCGAGTAACGCCTCTATAGATGGAGGTGCGTTGGCCGAAGGTGTCAGCGGTTTTTCTTGGAGTGGGCTCAGCGGCAACAAGCTGAGTTTGTTGTTGTTGTGGTTGTTGATGTTTCTGGGCATCTGTTTGTTCAGTAGAGAAACCGCGAAGAAAGCTCGCGGCTATGGTTTTGAGCTCGGAGTCATAAATCTCGTGAGTGTCAGCCGTAGAAAACTGATGATGTTGTGGATGTTGATGATGATGAGGAGGTGGAGCAAGTGGCGGTGCAGCTCCAGAACCGCCAAGAAAATCCTCGAGTTTAGGACTACCGGAGAATATAGATAAGTCAGTTGCACCAGCGGTACCAGTACCGGCTTCTTCTCTCGGTGCAACATTTCCTGAAAATATTCAACTCGGTGATCAAGAAAGAAAGAGAAGCTGAAGAAATAATGTAAAGAAAGAAAAAGAAAAAAAGAAGAAGAACCTGAAGTGGCGGTGGCGGTGGCGGTGGAGGAGGTGAAGGCTTCAAAGAGGCAGAGATGAGAGGAGTCGGAAGAGGAGGTGAGATGGTTATTATTATTAGAAAGAGAGAAACCTAGCCAAGAGGAATCCATGTTATTGCTCAAGTTATTCATATTCATATTATTCATCTTTCTTTTCTCAGTTTGAGTTTCAGTAAATACACGTTGGAAATATCAGAGTTCAAAGAGAGAGAAGTGAAAGAAGAAGAAGAAGAAGAGTTAATAAGTTTTGGTTTGTTTGAAAGAAAGAAAGGGAAGAGAGACACAAATATAGAGGAGGAGGAAGAAGAGAGAGATGCACAAGAATCGAGGAGGCTATATATTTTCTTTCTTTGTGAGAAAATTTAATCCAAGAAAGAAAATAAGGAAGAATGAATAATAAAAATAATGAAAGATTGAGAGAGAGAGACACCGTTTGGTCAGCCTCTAAAAAGCTACCACTTGCTTTGCTCTGTTGATGTAGTTGAATTGATGATAAATTTGATAATGGTTTGGTCAAGATTCAGGGATGATATTAAAAATATATATATATATATATATATGAGAGAGATTACTATGTATGCATTCAATACCCTAATCTTATATTAGGTTTTATTATATCGGCAATGCTATTATACAGTATGGTGGTAATGTTACCTTGTGGTCCATTTGAAACTCTTATACTATATAAAATTCCATTGAATTTGATGGTCCGGAAAAGGGAGTAATGTTACCTTAGTATTATAGTTAACTCGGTTTATAAAACACGTGTAGAACTTTCTTAAAATTTCAATGTTTTTAGTTTGTGTTGACTAATGTAGCCAAATTTTTAAGAGAAAGTTTATAATACTAGTTTCTCGGTTTCTAATAGAAGTGATTATTAGAATTATTAGCTTATCAATAATTTTATAACCCTAATTGAAGTATCCATAAATTGATTCAAATACCTCAATCATTAAAAAAAAAAAAAGGTTTATAATACTACGATTATATATATATATATATATATAGTAGTAATCAATATTAATTTAAATATAGAAAAGAGAGAAAATTCAGAGGTGATATAACTTCACTCTAGGGTAGTATATTCCCGTTGTATTTCAGTTTTTCCTCCTTCTTTTTCTCATTATAAGATTTTCGTGAAAATTAAAAAAAATCTAAAATACAATGAGTGGATAACCTCCTTTTTAATGATATTATAAATAATAATGCTCAATTAAAAATGTTTTTGTTATTTTAAAATCCAATATTCATTAGCAGGTGTGAATAAAACTTAGAATACAAAGTTGTATAGTTTTTTATACAAAATTTTGTCTTTTAACATTAATTAACAATAATAGACAAGGATTCTATCTTTTTTTTTTTTTTTTTTAAATGTAAATATTGGTAAAAGAGATGGATATGTATAAATATACTGGTTGATTATGTTAGTAGAGGGAACAATATGCTATATGTATGTGTTGAGAGGTAGATTAGTTTAGTAGAAGTTGTACAAATAATTAAGAATATGAAAGACTCTACTCTAATATGGAACAGGATGATTGAGGCAATTTAATTTCTATAATTTTATTATATGACATGAATGAATAAAATCATACATGTAACACAAATACGTCATCTTTGAAACACGAAATGTAAAACTTAGAAATTTTTTAAAAGGATCTTCATCTTTTAATATAAATTTTTGACTTCAAATTGTCAAAATTTTTAACATTTAATTTCCATTAATGCTCAGTGTTGCCCATTATTATCTTTGACTTCGGATTTGGGCCATTAATTAAATAAAATGAATCATGAAATCAATATCAAACTTTTTAAGTATTTCCACACCTTACAGAAACGTTTCTCTCAAATAATCCTATCTTATCAATATTCTTATTTATAATCCTAAATAATTCAAGTGTTTATAATCTATGCTAAAAAGCATAAACAAAAAATCATCTTTAAAAATATTATATATCAATTTATATATACAATTTTTTGACATAAATATTTTAGCCACGGGTTAATATGCAGTCTATTGTTACAATTTGTTGGTAGTATTAAAAAATCCTAATAACATTTCATGTCCAATACATTACATAAAAATTAAAATTTCGTGTTACAATAATTTCATCCATTATCCAATCAAATTTTTTATTTGCATTTATTTATAATACTCTAACTATATATTAAAACTTTTTATTTAAAAATGACTAAATTGGTATTAAAAATAACACCCGAAACTTCCCTCTCATCTCTCCATATTGTCATATTATGTTAATTATTGAGAATTTGAGGTATACCAATTTAAGACTAATGCATACATTTATTTATATCAATGTAACCATTGTTTCCTATTCTATTAACATAATCCGGTCGACTATATAATAAACAAATACTAAATATACAAAATCTTTATACAAATTTTTTTAAATATAAATTTATGTTACACAAAGTAAAAGAATAAATTTATACAAGAAAATTAATTCAATAAATACGGATTAATATAGATGAAGGATATGAGAATATAAGAGCTAAGTTACATCAATTTATAATATAATATATAAGAAATTAATAAACGCTGAATTTAATACAAATGAATGATATAATAACAAAAAATATATATATTGCATTAACTTGTATACAAAAAAATGTATTTAATTCATTGATATCATATATTTTTATTTATTTATTTTTATGACTAGAGGTGTCAAGACAGCTTATACGCACCTCAACTAATCTCTCGAAACTCTAGAATAATCAATCGATTAAGAGTTCCAATGGCTACCCTTATTAGTAACCGAAAAAGAACTCGAACTCATGACCTCTTGAATAATATATCAAAAAGCTCTTATCGAACCATTTGATCATCCAAAGGTAATTTTATCATATCAATATTAATACTTAGATAACATTATCCCTCGTTACAATTGCATATCACAACTTTAATAACGTTATCAAATCTGTATGATAATATATATTTATGAAGTGATTTAGAAGTAAATAGGTATGTTTGTGGGGAAGGAGCAAAGGTAGGGGGAGAAAAAGGGGACACATGACATGAGGGATGGGCATGGCTTATAAATATAATGGTCCCAACGTCTGCCGCGTGTCATTTCTTTGTCTCTTTTTTAAGTTTCTCTCTCTTTTTTGACTGTCACTAAACGACAAGTCGCGCCTCTCCGGCGCGACCCTTTTCCATTTGATTTCTAGCGGTATTATTTTTCAAAGTTAACCTACTGTTGTTTCCACCTTCACCCATAGAGCGTGCATATCACGCGTATCATTTAATGCTATATATTTTATCAAAGGTTTTTAAATTGTCCTCACAGAGCATGAAAGCAAATAATTTCTATACTTTTCCTAATTTATTTATGTTGTGACAAATTCGTTTTATATGGAGTATTTTGTTGATCTATAAAGAAAAATAAATTCATATCAAAACTAAAGAAATAATTTTGTGTCGATATTAAAATTATTATAGAAAGAATAATTCGCTTACAAACTGATAAACTTGAGAAATTAAAATGTACACAAGTTTGAATATGTTTATGGGATTGTTCATTTTTCCATATTAAGCCTGAATCTAACTTAATATGGGTGGTTTAGATACTTGTATGTGATTACGAGTTTAAGTGATTCATTCTAAACCCAATCACAAACTAACAATGAAATACTGTTCTTATATAAAAAGAAGGAAAAGAAATTCATTTGATTTGTAAATCTATCAATTACAAGTACTAAAGTTTAATAACATAGGTTTATTATAAATATATAACAAGTTTAAGAGTTATCTTAAACATGTATTTTATTTTAATCTTTTTTTCTTTTAAATGAAATACATAAAAAAACATGTTAACTCAACTCAAAGTAACATACACATTAATTTTCGATTAATCCTTTTACAAGTTGAATGGCATCTCAATAGCATGAGCGAGTGAGGATTATACTAAAGTTTCTTTGTCTTGACGTATCCATATGTATATATATATATACATATATCAATAGCATCCAAGGTAGCGAGGATTGTGCTGCATGGTGTGCAGAGCAGAGAAGGAAAGATAGATCTGCATTCTGCTGGTAATGACATCCACATGCTTGCATGACACTAACTCGACACGTGTGCTTTTTGTTTAATTATTTATTAATCTTACCTTCAGATAACTTCGACATCTGTCCAACTCTTCTCTTCCATTTTTGCATGAAAATTTTCTGATTCTTCTTTACTACTCTTTATCAATTGCTCAGAACTAGCTCTAGACTTTGCCAGACAGATCTCCTTCTCTCTCTCTCTCTCTCTCTCTTTAGCATTTAATAGATATTTCAGAGACTTATATAATATTATAAATCGTTCATGAGGTGGAAGCTTTCATGTGTGATCTTGTTCAACATAATTTTATTCTCATTATTCTCCTTTCAACTTATCGAAAGGGGAATTAGGGTTATTAAATAACCACAACTTTTAGTTTTAAAAAAGGGTTATTTTAAATATTGTTATGTTCATCTATATATATATATATATATACCATCTTTGATTGAACAAAAATATATTCGTCAGTTAACATTATATAAGATAGTTGTTTGACATTATTAGAATGCTGGAATGCCTGCCATATATCTTATTGAGGAATTTGACAGGTTCAAATTAAGAGCACTCCTATCACTACTTGAACTTCATTGTGATTCTAGCTAGTTTATCATTTAAATCCTTAGAATTAATGCTCAAACATGTTGATTGTTGAATTATATATGAATATACTTAAAATTATATGATTAATTTCATATACTGCTTGTGCAATCATTTAATTTAAAGCCCACCGATTTTATTTTATTTTTTTTTTTTTTTAAATCTTCCTAAAATTTTTAGAGATCTCTAGCTTGAGGGTTTTTTTGTAAGTAATTATAAGGGATTTTTTTATGGTTTCTAAAACTCAATATATATACTGACCCATAATCAAGATTGTCAACAATAAATAAAGCAAATAGCCAAATACTATGTTAAATGCTAGATGCAAAATTTAGATTTTAGTGCATGGCCGTATTAATCAAAATATTGACCATATTAATTTAGATAAATATATGATACGTGATTAATGCAAAATTTAAAACCACCAAAATATTGACCCGTCACCCAACATATCATATGATTATATATTATCTACTCTGATTAATACGTGATAATTTTCTCTGAAATATTAAATTTAAAATTTTGTCGAGATATGGAGACAATTTTAGCAAGTGTCACTTTCAAATTATCAAAACGCTGTTTATTTCC